CAATATTTGTATTCATCAAAGATAATCTTTTCTATTTTATCTAGAAAGAAGAATAACCCATTATTTAATGAGTTACCACTTTGTGAATACTGATTGGTTATAGGTGTATGAGCATATATGTACTCCCAGTTGAAATTCAGCAATGCTATCATTACATTGTCAGCTGACCCATAGCATTTTTTCAACACCATGAAATTCTTGTACCTAGTTGATAGGCTGCATACTAGACTGAAAAAGAACTTTACGCCTGCAAGGTATGCTCTGTTAAACAACATGGATGCATTAAAATGAAATTGTAGCCATGCATTGATAATAGTGTATTGTTGGGCAATTTCATCATTATGTGAACATCATAGAATGTACTTACACAAACCTAGATGGTCTGGCCTACTACACACCTAGGCTGTATGGTATAGCCTATTGCTCCTAGGCTACAAACCTGTACAGCATGTTACTGTATGGAATATTACGGGCAATTGTAACACAATGTTGAGTATTTGTGTATCTAAACAGAGAAAAGCAATACAGTAAAAATACAGTATAAAAGATAAAAAAAATGTATACTTGTATATGACACTCGCCATGAATGGAGCTCGCAGGACCGGAAGTTGGTCTGGGTGCGTGAGTGAGTGAGTGGTGAGTGCGTGCGAAGTCCTCGTACATTACTGTACGCTGCTGTAGACTTTATAAACACTGTACAGTGAGACTACGCTAAATGCATTTTTTAAAAAAAGTAATTGTGCTACGATGTTATGAAACTGCAGTGTCACTAGGCGATAGGGATTTGTCAGCTCTGATACAATTTATGGGACCAGTATTGTATCCCTCAACTGAAGGTCACGAAGCCTTATGTGGCGCATTGACCATGTAAGGTTAGAGATGAAAGGAACTTTAGCAAACGTCTAGTATAACTTCCTCATTTGTACAGTTGAGAAAATCGAGGTTAAACGATTCGGCCAAAGCAATTTAGCAAATAAGTGGCAAAACTGGCAGAGGGACCGGTGTCTCCTTGCAGCGAAATGGAGGGCTTTGGACTGAGCAGTAGAAGACGCAGCCCAGCTTATAGCCCTCATTAAATCGCAAATCACTGCTCCCTTTCAGAAGCCACTGAGGTTCAGGCACAATGGCTGTGTCAGCGACCAATGATCAGAGATGAATACATTACTGGAAAGGGCTAAAGATTTATGTACACACATCATGTAACCTACTGAGCTTGTATTTTTGTCTCCATTTACCAATGAGAAAACATATTCTAAGACATTGAGTAACTTGCTTAAGGTTACACGTATCTGGGAGCAACATAGTTGGAGTGTAGTTGCAGGTGTGGTTATCTCTAAAGCCAGACTCTACAATTACACTTAGCAGCCCAAAGGTTTACTAGCCCCATTTGTATATATTCCACATTAGTTTTTTGAAACAAATCAGAAATGCCTGTGTTCTCTTTTGTAGATGTACTTTGCCCATACGGCCCTGAAGCGGATAGAGAGGGCTAATCTGGATGGCTCCCAGCGAGAGAGGCTCATTGAGGAAGCAGTAGGTGTTCCAGAAGGTCTTGCCGTGGACTGGATGGGCCGTAGGCTCTACTGGACAGACAGAGGGTATGTTTCCTGCTTTAGTTTTGAGCTATGTGGGATGGGAGTGAGGGAATAGGTAACACTGCCAGCTTGGGAAGCTGAGGCAGGAGGATCGCTTGAGCCCGGGAACTCAAGGCTGCAGTGAGCTATGATGGCATCACTGTACTCCAGCCTGGGCAACAGAGCAAGACCCTACCTCAGAAAAAAAAAGGTAAAGATTAGCAAATAATATTTCAGTACAGTCAGCCCTCCATATCTGTAAGTTCTGTGTCCTCAGATTCAACCAACCTCAGATTGAAAATATTAAATAAATCAAAACTAAGACAAATAAGAAATAATGCAATATAACCACGATTTACATTGTATTAGGTATTGTAAGTAATTTACAGATGATTTAAAGTACATGGGAGGATGTGCGTAGGTTATACGCAAATGCTACGCCATTGTATACAGGGACTTGGGCATCGGCAGATGTCGGTGTCATGGGGTGTTCTGGAACCAGTTTCCCACAGATACCGAGGACAACCGTACTCTCTTGTCCTAGAATAACATGGAAGAAAACTGAAGCTAACATACGTTTCTACCTGCTGTCCTCGTGTGTGTGTGTCTCCCTCCTCCCTGTGATCTGTGTCCCGTGAGGCTGAGCCCTCCCCTGCCCCCGGCTTCCAGCAGGGGATTGGAGGTTGTGAAGAGAATGTTCCTGCCAGGCCACTGACACAGTCCCTTTTACCTTGCTCTGTCACTGTGTAGTTTAATTGCCTGGGATACATATTGGAATGCTAATTAAAAGATTGTATGTAAAAAAATTAAACTTGTGTGCTTGTTGGTGCTGTAATCCTTTATTTGTGTGTGTCTGTGTGAACGTATGGAGGGGAGCTAGTTTGGAATGCCTACCTTTGTATTCCAGGAACAGGGAAAAGAATATTTTTGCTTGAAAAGTAAAGTTGCTATAACAAACCTCTTTATATTACATACATTTTAGGAAATCTCTCATTGAAGGGAGTGATTTAAATGGAAAACGTCGAGAAATAATCATTAAGGAGAACATTTCTCAGCCTCGAGGAATTGCTGTTCATCCAGTGGCCAAGTGGGTATTTGTGAAAATAAGGCACCTTTTGGCAGAGGTCACGTGACAGTTCATGTTTGATATGCTCGTGTCCAAAATTTGTCTTTAGACCTCAGGTGGTCAGTGGAATCAGAAACGAAGAAAATCCATGAGATTTGTTCAAATCTTCAGAAATGACATGGCTAGCATGAATTC